ACTGTTACGCCAAAGTATTTTTTGTTTTGTTTTCGTCTTTTGCTGTTCCAAATGTCATTGTTTTAGTTGGAAAGCAGTTCAATATTCCCATTGCATCATCAGTATTCATAGATAGAAGCAGTTATGCACAAAATGGACTCATTTGGAAATACAATCCTAGTCCCCCATGCTGTCTTCCTGCTCCTACACACTCCAGGAGACACGGGAAAGTACTCAACAAAAGCCTGACTCCCTGGTAGATGTATTCATTAAATGCAGTGGGGATCATCTGTATGCCTTTCATGTGTGTTGTTAGCATTTGCATCCTAGAAAACATTATCTCTGCTGTGACAAATGATGATGTTGCTTTATTTGCTCAGGAGCAGCTGTTTAGTGCTGTTTAGATGCAGGTCGCAGACTGTGACCCGGTATTGTAGGTGCTCAGCACACTCCAAACATGAGATCATTCATCATTAACGCTCCATTGATGTTCTGTTGTTCCATATCGTTCGCCAGCAGACCGGTCCAGACTGGCAGCAGATAATGAGATGATTGATGGGCTCATTTTGTAACAGCGTCTTTGGTTCTAAATGCTGTTAGAGCGCAGCTGAAAAACTCTCAATAGCAATACATTTCCACTCAGTTAGGATGGACTTGTTCCCCTTTGTATCAAAAGTATGTCTTTTTCATATCATGCTGCATTATTTATGAGAAAACTACAACAAATAATTGGGACTGTCATAGATTGTGTTTTTGACGATGCTGCTGGATCCAAAAAGACGCAGCGTGTGTCCTCTCTTTAAAGAATAGAAACTCTCAAGTTGCCGGGAGCGATGGAGTTAAAGCATCTACTCTACTTTCCACTCTCACATTATTCAGTGCTCAATGTGCTCATGCATGTCATGCAACCATAGTGTTCTTCAGAGAGGTGACATTCCACCTCTATTTAAACAGCAGCCTGTCACCTTCTCCCTCGTTCCTCGCCGTAAGCCTTCTGTCTGCAGGCTCACGTATGAAAGATGCATTTATTAAAGCCCACGGAGCTGTTGGTCTCACTGATGACTTGATCACACGTCGAGCTGCCAGCGAACAGCTGCTGACGCAACTGTGTTCAAAGGAGGCATTTCATCTTCATTCAGTAAAAATACAACTCAACATGTAAGCAGACATTGTGAAGAAACAACAACTGCAGCTAACATGCTGATTTCAAATATCAGAATCAACTAAAGGGGCTCATCTTGGGTGACAGACTAAAACATAACAACCTGACATTACAATCGCTGAAGACTTAACAGGGTCCCTATAGGACCCTAACAAGTTCATTTGTTTTAAATGTTTAATATTTAAGTTCTATAAATATCTCAAAATGTGAAGAATGTTAGGAGACAGAGTTGGAAGTATTCAGATCCTAAACTTAAGTAAAAGTACACTATGCAGACAAATCTAAAATAAAATTAAAATATATATACCCAGAGAAATACGAATCCTTTTTAATAAATACAAAAACAGATGTCAATTACATTAAGGGTTGGCTAATTTAATTTATAAAAAACCTCATTTATAAACTCTAGTTTTTTATTTAAAAAAAAGTACTATTGCCTTAGTTACTTACTTAGTACTTAGTTCAATTCCACCACTGGTAGGAAAGGGGCATAACATTTGATTTGGGGCAGAATGAATGAGCATTTATTTCCATTGTACTGCATTTGCTCTTAAGAAAACATGCAGAGAACTCCTTCTAGAAGCTGCTGAAGCCTTCATTAAACCTGATGTCATGTTGAACAGGGGTTATAGTGGTAAAGACCGCCTCTCCAAACGCATTGTGTGTGTATTTCTTGGAGCTGCTGGTGTATGGGTCCTGATACAGCATGAGTTATTGTGAGCAGGACATTATGATATATTCCAAACACAACACACGGCAGGTCTCCCTTGTAAAAGAGATCGTTGATCTCAATGGGATTTTTACCTGGACAAATAAAAGCTACAAACAAACAAACAAAATAAGTAACAGCACTATAGCGAAATCACAACAAAAGGGGAGGGGGTCTGGAGGACGGGTCTGGGCTGACAGCCCAGGGGCACAGCGGAGGTCCCGGAAGGGATCACGGGCGGATGGCCCGGGGGCAAGGCAGAGTTCGTGGTGGGGCTCTCAGGCGGACGACCAGGGGGCAAGGCAGAGTTCGTGGTGGGGCTCTCAGGCGGACGACCAGGGGGCAAGGCAGAGTTCGTGGTGGGGCTCTCAGGCGGACGACCAGGGGGCAAGGCAGAGTTCATAAAGGGGCGAAGGCCACAGCGGGCAAACTCAGGGGGCCGGGCATGAGGGCGAGGACCGCGGCCGGGAAAGTCAGGGGGCCGGGCTCGAGGGCGAAGACCGCGGCTGGGGAACTCAGGGGGCCGGGCACAAGGACGGGCAGGAGCTGGTGGAACCCCTGGCGGGTCAGACGTAGACGAGACCCTGGACGGAAACTGGGCTGGTATCAGTGGGACCCACGACGGAGCAGGGGCTGGTGTCGATGGGACCGGAAACAGGACAGGACACGGTGTTGGCAGGAAACCCGGCGGAGCAGGCGTCGGCGGGACCCCCAACGGGACAGGACATGGAGTTGGCAGGACCCCCGGCAGAGGAGTAGTCGGCGGGGCCTCCAACGGCACAGGACACAGGGTTGGCAGGACCCCCGGCAGAAGAGCAGTCGGCGGGACCCCCAACGGAACAGGACATGGGGTTGGCACTTTGTTTTGTGCGTTTGTAGAATGTGTCATGAGTGCTTGTCACTAGAAAAGTTAAATGATGGGAAACCACAAAGGTAATTTCTTTGGCTTCGCACACTGCAGCTACAGACAAAGCCATTTCATGAAGTAAAAGTAGGTGCAGTGTTTCACACTCTGAGGGCTCTCAAAATGATTAACAGTACGGGAAAGAGGAACACATGTGTACCTGTTTCACACTTTTTTACAATCCTTTCTGTGTAATGTCGCTGTGAGGCATATTTATGACTTTGGGCTCTATAAGTTAAATGCAACTTCATTTTTTAAGGGTGTACACGTTCACTATTTCCCACATCTGATAATGGGGAACCTTGACTGGGACCTGCTTCTGAGCCCTACAGGAAAAATACATATGTTTATCAGATGAGTTAAGCCACAGAAGTAAGGAACCTGAATAAAGCATTTATTTAGTTATTTTCCTCTAAGATTATTGAACTAATAGAGTGATGCAGGAATGAGTCCTTGAACCGGGAAATTAGTTAGCATTTTAGCATTTCAGTTCCCTTGTCTCAAAGTCAAAACATTTTTGAAGAACATATTTAGAACTTATTTTTTTAAGTCAGTAAATATTCCACTGTTGAAAGTCCAAAGCCTCTATGTGTCCTAAAAACAGCGGGTCTAACCAGGTTAAAAATTAGACTACAAAATGCCATCACGCCAAATATTTGCCGTATTAAGCATAGAAGTGGTGACGTGAAGTCATGTGACCTTGATGTATTTTGTTTATAGCCGACGTTAGCTTTTTACTGCCTATTACATTTAAGGTTAAAAAATCATAAAGTGGTGTTAATATGTGGGGATTATCCTGCAGAACAAAATTTGGAAGTATCATTACGAGTGTTTAACACAGAGCTTATCTTCTGCAATACTCCAAAATCAATGGAAAACTCCCATTGGTTTTTGTGGGGGAGCCCCTGCGACGTCCACGTCCGGATTTACCTACGACATTTGTCATCAGAATGCCACTCTATAATAACTTAGAGTATTTATGACACCTGCTGACTGTGCAGTAACAGATTAACTAAGATTTAATGGAGATATATTTCTGGATTGACCCCTTACTTGGTCATAAATAATCCAGCTGGCTGGGTGTTGAAGCTTCCCTTTCAAAGTTTCCACTTAGGGTCTATATTTTAAAGAAGTATCACATTTGTAGATCAAGCTGTGAGAACTTATTATACTAATCTAAGTAATGCGCAAGCCTTACGTGTGTTGAATTGAGGGACGGTCAAAGCTGTAGGATGCAGACACTTGGAGACATGCAAAATCAATTTTAGTCCGAGATCATACCAAAGCAATACACTCCAAGGTTATACATAGAATGCATATATCCCCAACAGTAGACATCAATTCAGCCTTGTTTTGCCACCTGTGTGCCTCAAATGCAAGACGAGAAATCGATACCCTAACGTATTGTATTTGGTCCTGCAGTGTGCTGCAGAGAGATTGCTATAATGTGATAATTATATAAACAATGTTGGGATCAATAATCCTAGAGCTTCCAAACAGATGGATCACATCAAAAACAATAAGAGGATGTAGCATCTTCTATTTTGTGCTGCGAGGAAGAATATTTTATTAAAATAATTCCAATGTTTTCGTTTACTGCTCGAATACTTAATAGAATTAGAATACTTTGCACGTGTATGACATACAAAAACAGATCAGTTCTTTATAGTTTTGAAGCCCTACCTGAAATATCTAGATCAGACATTTTTCCTGATTCTTTTACTGTCAAAAATAAAGAGAAATGTACACAGCAGGAGTGGTTTTGTACAGTGCAGGCTCAGTGGAAGTGACTTTCAGAAGCTGGAGAGAATAAAGGAACACACATGACTAAAGCGAGCAGAGGTGGCGCCGCTGTGACAGCAGGTGGAGAAAATGAATCGATGGGTGGAATTGATCTTGTTAACTTGAGGCAGTGGTGCGAGACCAATTGTATAATCCGCAGCCCGAAGCTGGGTCAGACAGGAAGATAGAGGGAGGGGGGGGTAGAAAGGTGTGTGAGGGATGATGAAAGGGGGGGAGGGGTGGCTGGGTGAAATGCTGTCAGGAATCATAAAATGCAAGATCAATGCGATGTGTATCACTGCCAAAGGAAAGAATTCCAAAAATACAGATGAGCGTAAAGAAATAAGTGAAACTGACACACACAGTGCTGCAAATCAACATGTGTTTGTGTGAAGCAGGGGGGGGGGGGTCATTGTTCATACTATAGTATAGATGCTGACTCCATTTCCCATTTGTCCTGGCAGAGATCCGGGAGGCGTTCAAGGTGTTGGATCATGACGGAAACGGCTTCATTTCCAAACAGGAGCTGGGCATGGCCATGCGCTCTCTGGGATACATGCCCAGTGAGGTGGAGCTGGCCATCATCATGCAGAGACTCGACATGGACGGTGAGTCACTCACAGGAACGTAATGAAGTACATTTACTCAAGTATAATACTGAAGTTCAATTTAAAGGTGCTATTTATACTGTTTTATACTTTCACTCCACTACATCTTGGAAACCAATATTCTAATTGTTAGTCCACTACATATCTTTCATTTCATCTAATTTCAAGCCTTTATGTATCCAGGTGTACCCATTGAGATCATTGATCTCTTTTTCAAGGGAGACCTGCTCAAGTAGGTTCCACATGAAACATAAAAACATAAAACAACAGAACAACAAAAAGGACATCATACAGCATCATTACAGGGATTACAATTTACACAACTATCCACCAGTGCTGAACCGTCAGGGCCTTCAAGGTATTCAGAGAATACCCTGGAACACTCAGATAAAATAAACAAAAAATCGATTTAATTATATAAATAAAATGTAATAAAATGAATAAATGAGAATCGTATCTGTGTTGTTGATCTGTAATATTACAGTGTTACGTTGATTTGTTTGTCCTTCTCGGACCATGCACTACGCATTTCAGTGGTTTTGTGTTAGAAAAGAAAGCAACCAATCAGATCTTGTTCTGGGTGTCTGGGTAGAATATCCTTCAACCAAGGTATTCTACATCCTTGATAGAATGCCCTGGACGTTGCACTGAATGAGAGCGTACGTTTGGACTGACAGTTTGATCAACCAATCATATATTGATTTGTAGCCAATGGGCGTGTTCTTTCAGAGTTCCCCTCGGTTCCAGGGTATTCTAGAAGGCCCGCTAGTTAACTGGCTCGAGACAGAGGATCTAGATGAATACGACGAAGCAATTCATGCCGTTTTATTTGTTTTTAACGTTGAAATGACAAAAGCAACAGGTGAAGATGAAGTTGTTGCGGAATTGTTGTGAGTACCCTTTTCAAGACGACAATTCAGTGAAAAGACGGACATTATAATGCCGCGGAGGGGGGGGGGGGCGGCGGGGGGTGTGTGTGTCTACAGAAGGTCCAGTTGTGATAGACACGGTTCTCCACTGCTATCCACATAAACAGGTACCAACAGCATCTGATTGAGTAGCATCCAACCAAGCTTTAAAAACCAGATTGTTCAGTTTCCATTTAATTTGCAGACTATTCCAAGACAGAGGAGCTGCGCATCTAAAAGCTGTCTTCCCTAAGACAGTCCTAGCAGTTGGCACATTTAATAAAACCACAGCATGCGATCTCAGGCAGTAGCCACTTACAATTTTCCGTGAGATCAGGGAGCAGATATAAGATGGAAGTTTCCCTAACATGGCTTTGTATATAAAAATGTACCAGTGACTGAGCCTCCGTACAGTTAGTGAAAGCAAACCAGCCCTTGCATACAGGGTACAGTGATGGGTTAATGCTTTACAGTTTGTCACAAATCTTAGTGCACTGTGATACGCAGCATCTAACTTGACCAGGCAATTGGCAGGTGCATTCATATATAACAAATCACCATAGTCCAGCACAGGTAAAAAGGTCACAGTGACTAGCCTTTTCCTGGCCTCAAGAGAGAAACAGGACTTGTTCCTGTAGAAGAAACCTAGCCTAACCCTCAGCTTTTTAAGCAGGTTATTGACATGAAGTTTAAAAGTGAGACAATCATCAAGCCAGATACCAAGGTATTTGTAACAGGCAACAACTTCAAGTTTTATTCCTTGCGTAGTTACAATATCTAAAACAGGCTCTGGTGTCTTTTTAGCTTTAGAAAAGAGCATTACCTTGGTTTTATCAACATTTAAAAGAAGCTTTAGTTCAGAGAGCTGAGTCTGAATAATGTTAAAAACAGCCTGTAATTTAACACCAGCCTCCTTAATGGAGGGACCTGCACAGTACATCACGGTATCATCCGCATAAAAATGTAAGGTTGCTCCATCGACATTTTCACCTAAACTATTGATATATATGGAGAATAAAAGTGGACCTTAAACAGAACCTTGAGGAACACCATTAGTAATGTTTAACTACTCAGAAGACAGCCCATCAAAGTGAACACATTGGGACCCTTCAGAGGACCACCCCACTGCATGGCTGGATATGCCAATACTGAGTAGCCTCTGCTTTAAGATGCGATGATCGACGGTATCAAACGCTTTGGAAAGGTCAATAAATAGAGCTGCACAACTCTGCTTATTATCTAAAAAACTCGCCACATCATTCACCACTTTCATTGTGGCAGTAATGGTGCTGTGTTGCTTTCTGAAGCCTGACTGATGTTTAGACAGGATATCATTTTTACATAAAAACTCCTTTACCTGTTCACTCACTAGGCTTTCAAGACCCTAAGCCAGAACTGACAATTAAGAGATGAGCCTATAATTATTTAATAAGGTGGCCTCCCCACCTTTTAATAAAGGCAGGACATAAGCTGACTTCCATATTTTTGGAAGTCAGCGTATGTCTTGCCTTTACTTTCAGAATCAGAATCAGGTTCATTGCCAAGTAGAACACATTGAAGGAAATTGCTTTAATATATCGTGGTGCAAACATAAACACAATTATAGGAAATAAATTGTAAGTGAAAGCTCAAAAATGTAGCAATTATAAAAATGTAATATTTCAAAAGGTAAATAAAATTATATTTAAAAAAAAAGAGAAATATCTACACCGTATATAAATATACAAAAATAATTAGTACAATAAAAACGTGACATATCATTATGAGTTAAGATTCACAGCAGTAGCATTTAAAGGACAAATAATATGAATGCAGTCCATTTACCATAAAGGAAATAATATCAGCTCCACATTTACAAGCAGTGATAGAGACATTAACACGTCAACAATCATATACCAGTATACAAGTTACTATTGTTACTCTTACTTATGTAGACAATCTGAATGCTTGTTCCACCACTGCATACACACACACACACACACACACACACACACACACACACACACACACACACACACACACACACACACACACACACACACACACACACACACACACACACACACACACACACACACACACACACACACACACACACACACACACACACACACACACACACACACCAATGTTCTGTGTGGTGCAGATTGAGTGTCCCCTCCTACAGTATGTGTGGTATGAGATGTGTATTTCCGTACGTGCACTCTTTCGTGTTCACATGCACGTGTTACTTATTCCTCTGAGCCATGTTTAAAACATGTTTTCACGCATGCACGAGAGTATCTACAATTCAATCTCATCCACTCACTGTATGACTCATGAAAGAAACCAATGCTGGGAAGAGAACAGCCTGGAAGAAAAAGCAAGATTGATCAAATGTATGCATACATGACATTGCGGATGGAAATTGTAGATCAGAGTGGGTTTTAATTTGGTGTGCCCAACTAACACAAATCTGATGCATTTACCGCAGCCTTACATTTCCCAAAATACTGTGATATAAAACCAAATCCATACTGTACGTCTTTTAGCACAAAAATACTTTTACCCAAAGACTTGGGCAACTTTTGTAGGAATGAACGGGGTCCCGCATCCAACACTGTACCCAGTTATCTTTACACATCCATGTTTTTACTGCCAAAACAGTCAGATCTGAATCTGCAGAGGTTTATTTCTGGAGCACTTTGAACCTTTTGTCCTGGGAGAGATCAGCAGGAAAACTCAGCGAGGTTCCAGGCAGAGCAGCTGCATTAACTGTAAATGACATGTTCTAAAGCAGGGGTGCCCACACTTTTTGGGCTGGTGAGCTACTTTTGAAATGACCAGCTCACCGAGGTCTACCAACCAAAAATAAAATCCCAAATTGCAAGGGTTGCTGAATAACACGTTTTATTTATACATGGGATAATAGGGCTGCAACAAACGACTAATTTGATAATCGATTAATCTATCGATTAATGAAACGACTAATCGACTATTCAGACTATTACTGTATGCCTTGCACAATTTCTCAAACCCTCTTGTTTAGCCATCAACTTTTAGATTTAGCTTGAGGTTGTTTTAGGCATGTGGAAACTAACAATGAAGACAATAAAGATGAATACTTGATTCAAAAATACATATATTATTAAATTAACAAATTTTGAACAAAACTAACATTGCTTTTTATTTAAATAAAAATAAATAATATTTCACATCAAAAGAAACAACAATGTTTTAACAAATCGTATTAAATAATCTGATGACAGAGCTGTAAACAGAATAGCTGAAACTTTAACAACATAAAGAGTAACTCAGTTTCCTCTCATCATTAACCCATGTTTGAATCATTGAGTTAACTGCGTGTGTTGCTGCTAGCATACAGAACACCTGACGTGGAAACGTTACTCGTGGATGGGGCTACAGGGCTACTAGAAAGACAGTGGAACCCGGTGCATTCCTCCGTCTGGATGTGGTGCACTTTTGATAAATGTTTAGACACATTGCTCGTGTTACCGCCCTTACATGCTGAACTCTCTTGGCAAGGAGCATTGTCCACCTCAAGACGGGTAACATTTAACCACACCTTGGAGCGCTTCTCTCCGCCATCCCCGCCGTGTGTTGCTGCATGTAGCAGCCGCGTGTGTGTAAACTGCCCCGCCCCCTCGCGCACAGACGGGGGAGAGAGATCTCGTCTCGATTGGAAAGATCGAAAATACACCGACATTTGTTTGTCTTTTTGCATGTTAGAAACGAGTTGGCGACACTAAGATTGCGAGATAATATTTGTGTAGCAATAATACATGACCTTTCTCTTTCTCAACTCGCTACTCGGAGGGAAGTCGCTGTCATATGCCTTGTGAACACTCCGATAATGCCTCTCCACGTTACCTTTCTTTGGCAGAGCGACGCTTGCTTTACAAATAAGGCAAATAACCTTTGAATGTGACATCACAAACAAATATTCTTCCTCCCATTCTGGGTGGAAGTGGTTTGTCTTTAGCTTCTTGCTCGGTCCCGCACTCATTTTGTTGTTTGTCTCTTGTTTGTCTCTTTAACTTAATTTGAGTTTTCCCGGCACTTGACTGATTTTGTATCGCTTTGCATTCTGGG